AGTCACTGATCGCTGTAACTCAAAAACTATGCAACGTACGAACTTGAAATTTGGAATAGAGGTTCTTCTCATATTTTCACCGTGCAATAAGAAAGGATTTTCAAAAATATTGTGTTTTAGTGGAGTAATGAACAATTATAATTATTCATTGCCAATATGTATTGTGCTGCACGGCACGGGCTCATGGCGGCCCACGGGTTTCCAGCTACCTGCAACTTATCATTTTTATCCTTCACGTAGATAAGAATTGTTCGGGGAAGTTATAGGGATATAATGGATATATTGTAAATTTGTAAATTTGAAAAAAACAAAAATACACACGGGCGAAGCCGGGTAATTCAGCTAGTATAAATATATAAATATATAATATATGAGATTTAATCTACTGAATCAATATATTACTCGTGTTTTCATAAACATATCGATACATCGAATAACTTTTATTAACGGGGTTCGGAGAGTATATAGGTACATTAATATGTGCACCGTGGGAGCAAATAAGCTACCTCAAACATTTTCAACATTTTTTTTAAGCTTATCTATTACTATTTGCAACTACTATATATATATATATCATAAATTTTCACCTCCTGCCTAAATCGCACTACTCATTTTTTTTTATTGAGTTCATGCTTATCATTGATCATTTTATTTATCGTAGCGCACTTTTAAGATTTTGTGTAACGCAAAGTGTGTCATAGTTCACACAAAAATAGCCATTGAGGCCCGCAGTTTGTCTAAGAAACAAATTGTTTATTTGAGTTTCAAGTATGTTAACATTAGTATATGTCTTTTGGAATTCATTTCAATTTAAAAAAAAAAATGATATTTAAAATTTGTTTTCTTATCAGTTACATCTAAATTAATAGTAACCGCGGTTGGATTTCTGTTTTAATAACTGTGGTATTTTCTATCAAATCGAAGAAGTCATTGGAGAATTTAAAACCTAGTAACTTCTAATCTTGAACTCTAGTTCCTATTAAATTTTCATATATTATTAAGGTCATAAGTAAAAATGTATGTTTCCCGTTGACATAAGTATATAATATAACCATATAACTAAGCCAAATAATTAACAAAATATGTTATTGGTTATTTTATTTTCTTATTTTTAAGTGAGGTGAATGGTGATTATATTATTTTATAAGTTATAACTTATAAGGTTCTCACTGATATACACAATTTTATTTTCGATTCAAAATAAATAATAACCAACACATAATTTTTTGTAGCATAAAAATAGGAAAATTACAAAATAAAGAAAAAATTTGTTGAAAAAAAATATTTCTAGAGGAACCAATCTTAAACATTTTCAATACTTTGTATAGGAAAACATATTGGATGATAGCAAAAATAGTAGAGGTAGGTAAATACTAAAAGAGGAATGCACCACCTGCAAGCAATGTCTGCGCACGCCTACGCGGAAGTCTGATTCAAACACCCGGGAGTGTAGAGGCATACAGCGATTTTACTGCAGCAATTCACTAAGCATACTTAGCCACCCCCTCCCCAATTGAATCCTTTAATGATGTATTTATTATAATTCTGATTTTTGGAATTTTTAGGGTATACCTAATATACTAAAAGACTATAGATACATAGTATCATAGGTTATCATACAAATATTTGGAAAATAGAAGTTAGTATCGACACACAAAACTCCTTAAATTACACGGAAAATTAAAATATTTTGAAAATATAGTTTTTATAGTGTAGTAAAAAATTCAAAAATACTACACCAATCAATTATTGTAGAAACGTCATTGATCCGGACGAGGCCGAGCATGAACAAAAACAATAATAAATAATATAATAATGTTTCCTTCGGAAGAGGCAAAACAAAAAAAAAACACAATAATATAACAAAAACAAACACCGTGGCCGCCGTTTGCGTGTAGCAATAATAATAATAATAATAGTAATAATAATAATAATAATAATAATAATAATAATAATATAGTCATGAAACCTCGCCAACGTGTATAGATACGTTTTATATTATTATAGGAGTTTGACCCCGTTGACAGCTGAAGTCGGAACGAGAATACGCGAGTACCTAATATTAAAAGAACGCGCGCACTATATACTAGCGGCCGTGAATATAATAAGCGCACATTACACACCACTCGTTTGAGATGTAAATATTCGTACATAGGTTTTCACGTGTTATAATAACAGTGCTGCGAGTCCTCCTATTCTATCCATCATTATAATGATATATTGTGCGCACGCATACCTATCGTACCGATTATTTGAATTCGGGTATAGCATAATGTTACACGCGTATTTCTGCCTGCTAAATAGAAACATAGAATATACCTATAATGGTACAGTAATATCATAATATTTAAGTATATTACACTGTATTACTATGTATACCGAATATATGTCTACTTCGTTCCTCTCTAATCAAATATTTAGTCATAATGTTTGACTCAAAACTACTGTTCAACTCCCATATTATTAACAAAAAAAAAAAAATCCAAAATTACAAAATAAAGCTGTATCTGTGATTTGGTATGATTAAGCGTAATTATTGCTCCGAATTCAACGATACTTTAACCTTCAAATGCCTCTATACTTACCTCACTTATCCGCTCTTTGGTTGATTATGCACTAATAATTTGAGAAAATAATAGAATTGGACATAGTAACTAGCTAACTTGAAAAAATTTAAAATAAAATCCTTTGCTTTATACTATATCAATTTTTATATGTGATGTATCAAGAACTACCAACATTATGGATGCAAAAACATTCTAGGAATCTTAAAAAAGGATTCTTTAAAAAATCCTAGAAGCTGGTTATTGCTTTGAAATTTTTTCTCTTCGAATTATTAAATAATGAAATTGACGAAGTCAAAACAATCGCAAAAATCAACTATTTTATATTTATAATTTCTCCTAAACATATTATGTTAAATCACCCCATTAATATTTTAATGTTAATAAATAATAATCTATTTAGGTAAGTTATTATCCCTCATTTTTTTATATTAAAGTTATTAATGTCACTGTCAATATTATTATATACATAGTATTACTAGTATTAGGTATAATGTATAATGTATACAGGTATATACCCAATGCATTGATTGTCAATAGCCATCGACTATCTTTTTATGTATACCTATTCCCTACATTGTTTTTAATTTTTATTCTACATTTTACTCTCGTGTATCATTAAAGTATTTACAAAACTTCTTAATGTTACTTATTTATTAATTATTACTTACATTTACTATTGTTATTATTAATATTTATTTCTGTATTTGAAATTTAACTATATTATTGTAATATTGTACGTGCAATAAATCAATAAATAATGTAGCATTCTGCACATAATATTTTAAATTATTTTATTATATTTCACAGAGGCCCACCGTGATTTTCCGATTTTCAATTTTGGTTTTAAATTTTTAATAAACCGTCAAACGTCATGCAATCACTAATGCGTAGAGTAGGTGGGTATATAATATTATACCTATCGACTATCGGATTATCGAATACCACCCACCTATAAAACCATATAGAGTGGCTATATGTTTCTATAACTATGATAATTATATTATTTTATTGTTCGAGTTCTTGCTAATAATTGCTATATTATTCGGTACCTCGCAATTCGCAAATAAAGTACACCACCTCTAGCTATACTTCAGGTGGTTCAAATTTCGGTTTGGAATTTTATGTTTGTACTCTCCACTCTATACCAGGAATCACCAATTAATATTCTTGTAGTGTCACTTTAGAAACATAGGAAGCTTTTTTAGGAAATTCATGAATTCAGGGAGGTCTATACGATTTAATTTACATGTTTATTTTAAGAAAATGGGGGCAAAACCAAAAATCACTTTAAAATATTTATGAAAATTTAATTTAATTCAACATAAAAATAATTGTTGGCGAGATAAAATTTTCAACGGGCCCTCGTTCGATGGTGTGGGTGCCACCTGATATACTGATTTTAAGTGGTTTAGGTGCGGATCCAAAATATATTTACTGGTTCAAGTTCCAGTTTGAAAAATGTTTTCAAAAACGATTATAGTTTTTGAAATAATGAGTGTATGACGTATAACTGGTCACCTAATTTATTGTACTGCGTGTACCTTTAGGCCGTACTATTTGATATTGTTATATTATTATTGTGCGTATGTGCAAATAAACCATAATTTGGGCACTACGTGTGGTGGCCGCCGAGGAAGGCACCGCGCCACCGGCGGCGGTGGCGGCGGCGGCGGCAGCGCGTCGCGCACAAGCACTGCACCAGCACCACGCACGCACTACTATTATACCACTTCCGAGATAACACACGACGGCGGCGGCCGCGTCGGACACCGGTCACTCAGCGAGTGTCGGACGTTCGTTTGCCCGGATCGGTTTTATTTACATTTATAATTATTTTGATATCATATTTTTTACTTTTTTACACTCTGCAAAAAATCGTCGTTCGTTAAACGGTAAATAAAATTTTTTCGTATTACGCCGAGATAATAATTAATATAATATTGATGTTCTAACGAAACGCATGCCGGCAACGAGAACTTTATACATTTTTTTTAAATTTTCCATTTTTAACGTATAGGTGCGTTTTTAAGATTTTTTATTACGACGAACACGAGTTTTAATTACGACGTTATAATATATATATATATATATATATACAATTAATATTATATTTATATATCGAAACAGTTCTGGCACACGCAAGATACAACACCTAATAATAATAATGTCTCTCCGGTACTCTGTGCGATCGCGCCGTAACCGCCGTCGTGGTGCATCAGCGACAACGCGGTAACTGTATTGTTGTTGTTATTGTTGTTGAAACAATCTGCACGTCGTGCGTGTAGGAGTCTGCGTCTCAGATAAACTGTTCACCGTTATACCATAACGGCTATTACTACAATTTTAACGTCGTCGAAAAAAAATATAATTTAACCGCGGCCCGGTTCACGTGTACGTTTTACGACTCGCGCGGAGTGCAGAGTCGACGAGAAAATGAACAACTTTATGGACTATTTCGTGACCAAAGAGAACTACACTAACCGCGGACATTGGGCCAGGGCCAGACACGTTTCCGAGGTAAGCGATGGGGGCGCTCTTGAAATATCGCTATAATTGTAAAAAGCGCGTTTGAGGACGACGACGATCTGTTCAGTGCGACTCTGCAGTCTGCGCTGGGTTATATAATATTGTTATTTATTATCGTCTGTCTCCGTCGTCGTCCAAAATAATAACAATAATAATAATATTCCAAGACGGCGGCGGGTGCGCGTGTGTGCGCTTGTACACTGACATCAGAGTTGTATACTTGTATCACACATGTGTGTTCGCGCACTATGGCTGTTGCGCGTGTGTACGGCGGCGGCGTGCCCGATCCCGTTACCTTGGTTACCGCCGTATACGGGAATCGTCATCGTTCTCCCGGCGACGTTGCCGCGCCGTGCGCTCTGAAATCCGAAACCCCCCGGCCGCGGTGGAGGTTTTCTCGGCGCGCGCGCGCCCCCGTCCCGGTTATTCGGCGGCGGGGGCGCGAGACACACGTGCACTGCCGGCGGCTGTTACGCGGACGACGTTCAGCGCACAGCGTTCGCCGCCGCCGCCGCCCGTCGTCCCATGGTGTGGCGGTGGAGATACGGAATAGCGATGGGAATTTTCGTTCCTTTTGTGGAATCGTTCCAAACTTCCAATCTGTATTTAGAATAAAGGAACGATTTCAAAAAACTCGTTTTCGATACATTGGTGCTTTTTATCGCCGAATGATAATATTGTTAGTTGCTATCAAGGTGGACGTATATATAGATACAGGTATAAGGTATTGGTTGTTACAAATGTACCGATTAATCGATATCGTATCCATTTCTGATAAAGTAAAATCAATATTCTGAGCATTGTGCACTTATTAATGTGTACCTACACGGTCTAGTCATATTATGTAATGTTGTAAATATTGCATATAGTACATGTACTCATTATTCGGTGTCAAGTGAGAGCCATGGTTAGGTATGCTTTGGGTTATTGTAGTAAATCATCATCGTGTTGACTCTGCAGGGAATATTGTATCGTACACCGTGGTCCCTAGTTTCCTACTGTTTGGGACCATTTGGGTAATTTTTAACTTTGTTCCGACGAAATGAATGTGTAGCGAATAAGAGTATTTGTTCTTACTCGTTCCATCCATGTATTACTCGTTACTCAGGAACGAATACTAGCATACCGCACTAAAGAGTAACGAGTAACCCACCACTTGAATACTCGCCTTGCACCGCGGTCCTTTCGGTGACTTAAGGTATACCGATTACCGAGTTAGTTCGGCATGTTACAGTTACAGTTGATTTTAATAATTGCAATTCTCCGAAGCAATCGTTCCTCGACGGTTACCGGGCGATTTTTATGTGTTTGTGAGCGATTAAATGCATATTATCGAACTATTTTGGCATCGACAGGTTTCCCGTACAATACGTACCTCAATTCGTAGCGTTTTGATGATAACGCGTTGAAATCGCCATTGCTTTCGCAAGATCGCTCTAATCGTTTCTTTATAGATGGGGCATCACCTTTAATCGATTTTACATTAAGTACCTGCAAGTTCGTAAAATAACAGTTTTTTAAATTGTTTACGCTTCATACGCATCTGTACACTTAGTTAAACTTTGTATGTATAGAATAACATTCATTTTTCATTATTTTATGAGGAGCATAGTGCATTTAAATATAGGTAATAATCTCGTTCTCCTCCCTAATATTAGGCCTTCTAATAACATTGCAACAACTTATTTTACTTTTTAGAAAAAAAAAAATTTACAACATTATAGGTACCTACTATACCCTATGGCTACCGTGTATATCTGCCATTTTTTAAATACTGTTATCAATATAACTTAAAATTACAATAAGTACATAATATGTAAAATAATTTTGACTATAACTGTGGAATAAGTATGGCAAAATAAAAATATGAACAAAGCTAAGAAATGTTTTTTATGATTATATTTATTGATTTATTGTGATATACCACGTATAATACAGTACCTATAAAATATAATACATTATACATTTATAAATAACGTAATGTAACGAACGAATACATTTAAATAGAGGGTATTTCTAACACAAAAGGCTTTTTATACATCTAACTGACATATACACCGAAAAATCGGACCGTATCTGTAACTATAGTTATTATTTAATTAGAGAGATCAAAGCTTCCGCTCAAGCCACGCCAATTAGCGCCTACGCACTTGCAACCACTTGTTCCGGGTATTCCGGCTACTGCAAATGCGTCTACAAATATATGTTCCTTCATTTATAATTTGGCAGTTATTACGCATTTTTTTGTTGTAATGCATAACTTCATTTCATAATTTCCATATCAGAGTTTATCCTCCCTTGACGCATAAACGTGTAGTAGTATTTTTTTTAAGAAATATCGTCGACTGCCGTGATAGTGATTTGTCTAAAAATATTACTCAGTTATTATCTAATGATGGAAAATGTCAATCATGAAACTGTAAGTCAATGGTCATTAACCATTGATATACGATAGGTAGTATTATAGTGTTTGGACAGAAATTCTTGTACCTATATTATATTATATTATCTATAATATCTAGTATTATATATCTAGTATTAAACTAGCTGATACTGATTTCAAACAAGTTGGATTTCTTTTGCAAATCCCATTATTTTTAGAAAAAATTTAAAAAAGAAAAATGGTAAATATTTCAAGTTAAATTGATTTTATAAAATACAATAATTAATTGTTCTGATTATCAAAACCACAATACTTGTACCATATTCTGTTACATACTCGTACGTGTGTAAAAAAGCACCCAACTACCCCCAAAACGGACTACACAGTATTATATATTTTATAATAATTATAATATATAGAATTATATTTATATATAAATAAAGTTTATGATATACGTCTAATTATCGTTGAAATAATATTAACTAGGTAGGTCTAGGTAGGTATTACGTAGTGGGTACAATATTTATATTTAATTTTAGACTCATCTTTTAGTCAGTAATCAACACTCAAAACTGTAGAAGTATTAAAAAATTTATAGGCCGAATAAAGTAATATGTAATTTGGGGAATTTGCGAGGTTTACTGTCTATAACTACAGTATTACTGTCGATAGGTTAGCATTAAATTTATACATAATTTTAACAAAAGTATTAATACTAGAGATTTTAAGTACAGACATAATATAATTTTGAAATTATTTTAGTTCTTTATAAAGCTATTTTTTTTATGCAAAATTAGATACATATTCAATTATAAAATAACAATTCTGGAAATTTTTAAAAAATAATTAATAGTAGTAACATGAAATATTCTACTATAAATTACATTTGTGATTTGGTTTGTAATCGATTAATGCATTAATATTCATAAAATATTGGTTTCCCGATTAAAATCTTAGAAATGTAATACAACTATCCTCTGAACAAGTAGTTAATATTTAGACTAATTTCAAACTACTTAATAGAGAACTGATTCTCACTATGATACTGTCTATTGGTATTGACTTAAGTTATATTCGTTATTTTTGTCAAAAATAAGTTCAACTTACTCAATCAAGAAAATACTAGTAATATTATAAATGTAGTATATTTTAAACTATCCTAAGAAATAGATGCTCCCTGATCCGCACTGCAATCTCTTTTAATCAGAAGAATTTTTTGTTTATCATATCTTATTGATTTAAAATTTAACACATATACTATAGTGATACAGTGACTTAATCAATGACGTGGTATACTCAAAACCTACTAGCAGAAGATAGTTGCCCAGTTTTTTTCTTGGTATTTCGTTGAATAATGAATGCTTAACTAACTAATTTTAAACAATCGTATGGATATTAAAAATTATTTTTATAGTGTCCGTGAAGATAAAACTAAACTAGTTTATTTATGTCTGTTAATGTTGCCAAAACGTTTTTTACTTTAACTAGGGCAACAAAGTGTGTTAAAATTAATTAAATGTTACATTTGACTTTTTGTCAATTCCAAAATACATTTTATACGGATATATGCTTTAAACAATTTTTGAATCTTTCTTTTGCTTTCATACCTTTGTTATTAGATTACCTAACATGAGCTATATTTGTATCATATGACCGGTTAATATTAATATTTATTAGTATTTGTAAGGTCATTTGAAGACAAATATAAAAATTGTTCTATAATTTTGGATAGTAGTTATTTACATTGCCACACGCCCACTTTGATAGCCAGCGTGGTATATACGAGTAGTATCCGTATCCTAGTTTGGCCACAACTATAGTCATTGTAATCACAAATAACAATAATAATAATTTTATTGCTAGAATAACTGGACTAAATTACCATAACAATTAAAACAATCATTTGTAGAGTACTCTCCGCACTAAGGTAGACCATTTTTTTTAGGGCAAGAGTACTAATGTATACATGTTTTGTACATTTAAAAATAGAAGAAAGAAATGAAATTAATGTAATAAAAATATTAATTTTAATATTATAAATATTTAAGAACTATCAATATTCTACTACTTTAATATTGAATAATATTGCTTCTTTACGAGTTACGACTGTATATTAAATTTTCATCATTTTATTTGTTTATTTGTTTATTTACAATCCTCATAATATACTACTAATTTAAAATTGTTTAAGTCATATTATTATTATTATTATTGTTGTTGTTGTTATTCACTCATGTCCAATTTAATTATTTCATTCAGTTCATAATTATTCATATTAAATACAAAACGTATATAGGATATTGTTGTATTGGTACAGTTACGATCACACAAATTGCTTAAATGAGTTAAACTTTAAGTAACAATAGCGAGCCTATAGTAGTTAGTACCTACTACTTACACAAGTACACGACTATACTAAGTATAATTTTATATTCTAGTAGGTACTTTTGTTAGTATAATTTCTTACAAATATGTATGATTTACCTATTAGTTAGATACCTATATAGTTTATTTTGTTATTATCATACGATTTATATGCATTCTAGCAAAAAAAAATACTGTATCTACTTATTAGTTATTTAGAAATCACGTTGTATGTTCGTGGAGA